CTTCCGCTTCGGTGGTCGAGAACGTTTCTCGATTTTCTCATCGGGTCCTGTCTGTTCGACATTCAGTCCAGCGAGCATCGCCAGCGACGCGTCGCCATTATGTTCCGGAACCGGAACGTCTTTCGTCTTCCGCTTCCGTTTCCGCTCGGTCTCGCTATCGTTCTTCTCGAGTTGATCCAGAAGTCGAGCTTCGGCGAGATCGTCCTCTTCGTCCTCGAGTTCATCCTCCTCAATATCAGACATTTCGGGCTCGTCCTCAACGTCATCGTCTTCTTCCGAGGTGCTCTTTTTGCGTTTTCTCGACGTCCGTTTCTTCGGTGCTTTCCGTTTGGGTTGAGCTTTGGTTGGTTTTTTCGCGGACTGCGATTTCGGCGGTCTCCCTCGTTTTCGCGGTGGGGCAGCCCCAGAAGTACCTGGGCCTTCCTTGGTCACCGTCGACGCGACCGCCGCCCCGGCAGCCTCGGAATCCGTAGCCGTCGACGCGTCGGGTACCTGACCGTTGCTGACGTCGTCGTCATCGTCGTCAGAACCCAAAGCCCCGTCGGGTCGCACCGACCAAGGCATATAGGACTCCGTCGCTGCGGTAGCGGCGCCTTTGCGTTTCCGGCCGCGCGGAGCTCGTTTCGTGGAAGAGACAGTGCTGGCGGCGGTTGCGAGCGAGGCGTCATCGTTGCCGTTCTGGAATTCCACGTCGTCTTCCCCTGCACAATCTTCACTGTCACTCTGCCAGACCTTTCGCTGTTTCTTGCGTTTCACCTGGTTTTTCGAGTGACATTTCTCTTTGTGCGTTCGCATCGTGAACGGTATTTTCGTTTCAAAAGAGCAAAACTTGCACCTGAATGCGGCTTCCTTCTCATAGCAATTAGCGGCCACGTGGTCGCTCATTGTGCGCCGGGAGGCGCATGAGAATCCGCATTTGACGCAAAGATGAGGTTTTTCGGTCGTGTGTTTCCCGATGAAGTGGTCTTCGAGTTGACGGCGTCGCAGAAACCGATCGCCGCACACGTCGCAAACGAACGGATACTGGTCGAGGGGGAGATGAACTTTTTTGTGTTGGCGGAGATTGCTGCCGAAATGGAATTTCTTCCCGCACGTCGGACACTGGAAGCGGGGCGCGAGTCCGTGCATGGCGCTCTCGTGTCCACGGATATCGTAACCGACGTATTCACAGAAACTACACTTTTTCCGGAATTTGTTGTCGATGTACTTTCCGTCTTCGTGGTTGTAGTTGACGTGACCTTTCAGTAGGTATTTGCTGGTTGTGGTGAAGTCGCAGCCCTCCCAGGTGCACTTGAAGCGGAAATCCTCGTGCACGACCTTCATGTGCTCTTCGAGAGCTCCTTTATACGGGAAGAGTTTATCGCATCGGTCGCACTTGTGCTTTCCAACGTTGTGCTTTATGCTGTGCACGCGGAGTCCACTGCGCGATTTGTACCTAAAACGAAAACGGCACTTGTAGAAGCATCCCGATGAAGAAACAAGGACTCCCCTCTTGGGTTTTTCTAAATCTTTTTTCTGAGACTTTAGACAAGGTTCGGTGCGCCGCCCTTTGATTCGACGGGGATCATTGTGACGCGGGAAAATCCTCATTTCTTCGGATGTTCTGTGCCGAATTCGAATGCGACAGCGGTATACGGATGCGGCTGAGAGCTCCGTCTCACGGGGCGGAAGACGAGCACGACCCTATCTGCCGAACATGTCGCATTCTCTGAGACCAAGAGCATAGGAACATTTGCCGCGGGCTGAAACATCAACATGAACTTCGGCGCACTTTGTAGCGGGGCGGTTCACCGAACGATGGCAAAAAGTCTCAATAACGACGGAACTGACTCCATCCGACTATAGAACTTGATTCCGGTATCTAACCGAGGGCTATCAGAGTGAGGAGATGCTCTGTGATATTTCTTGCTACTGAAAAACTGACGTGAGATCCTTCACCGGGAACTATCCAGGAAGGATCATCAATTTCCCGAGGAGGAACAAGATATGCCATGATCCTGGTTCGATTCAGATTTCCGAAGGCGAATATCGTATCTTCGGAGCTTCAACCTCCGACCGCGCGTATACGAACAAGCCCGAGGGGCTCAGACTCAAGTATTCGGTATCATGTCCTCGCTCTACGGAAAACTGTTGGCGACTTACTTTGCATCGCAGTACTGACAAGCATAGTTCCTCTCCTGAGAGTGAACGGTGGCTAGATGTCTTTTCAGCATCCTTTTAGTCTTAGCGACATGGTCACACTCTGAACACCGGAAGGGTGGTCCATCGATCGGCGCCTCGATGACATGGATCAACGATCCTTGAGTCGTTTGCAAGGTTCCTTCAAACGAAAAGTGGACATGACTTTCAGTCTTTCGAAAGCATGTGCCGAACTCTCTCGACTGCCTCTCTCTCCGAAGAGCCATCCATTCCGGAGAACGCCCATTGCGTTTCACCAGCATAACCCAGCCGCAAACCCACCTCCAATCGGAAGATTCACGTTGCCGGCTACCGAGCTCGCAGGAACTCCGACCATTTGCACCAGAGTGTGACTTCCGGTCGTGACTCCGGCCGACGTGACCATTTGTTGCAAAACCTGCGGTTGTGCGATTTGCGCGTTCAAATGGGTTACTTGTGTAACGTGCGGCTGCACGATATGCGACAGGTGGACAGCATGAGCCGCTGAGGCCATCACGCGATCCGTGGTTGCGCAGCTGACGGACTGATGAACGGTGGTGACAGCGGCTGGAATGGAACGAGGCTTGAATTCCGTGCTTGGGTAGAGGACTCCAAGCTCTTCGAGGGAATCGAGCATGCCTTGATGCTGCCTATTGAATCGAATGTAGACGGCTAAGAAATCCAGGCTTACCGGAGGTCGCCGGAGCTGGATCACCCGGTTCGTGGGGATGGATGATAGGGGTTCTAAGGTCAGGATAGTCTCCTGGAGGTAACCTCACGAGGTTCGACGTCGAAGGGCCTTGTGGACCTGGAGGTAGGTCCACCTGAGGGTAGGCCGGAGTTGATGGGTACCAACCCAACAGCATTGAGTCGTGGTTCTCCATCTTGTGTGAGATCCTGGAAGATAGCACATCGTTTGCTAGGGAATTCGTTCGTTTCACTCGGACAATCGAAGCTTTTCCGCAAGCCAGATCGAGCGAATTATTAAAATGATAATAATAAAAATATCGCTCGATAATAATATTATCATTATATTCATTATTATGAGGGTGATAATCGTGAGGTTTCATTGGAATTGAGGCGACGTCCCCTTTGACAGCTATGGGCAGATCTTTCGTTCGCAAACACGCGAACTTCACCACCCCTAGGTGAGACAGCGAAGTGCGCGAGTGAACCTTCCTGTCGGAAGTCAAAGATGCTCTGGCTCCGCGCCGGATGGCCATGTGCGTTTCCCACTTTCCTCACGGAAACTCTCTCGCTGCCCAGAATGCGATTCCGGAAATTCCTCACGAACCGTCCATATTCCCGTCACATTACTATATTTATTGCGGAACCCCAGTAGCCAATGTGTACAGGAAGTGGGGGAAGTCCTTTTTCCTTTGGATCGGAGACGTACAACCGGAGAGCTTGACAATTTGCCGCGGATACGTCCGAGGCAAACCGCCGCACCACCTTTGCAATTGTTCGAGAGGCTCCGCAAGGCATACGGCGGCCAAAAGCGTCAACGCGACCATCATTCACTTGATTCGCTTATCCACGTTCTCGTCCGGCGAAACTCGCGCTGTCCGTCTTGGAGCGGTCGAGCTCGAGCGGATTCGTGGGTACGGGCGCCATGGTACCGAGAGGAGTCGCGACGATCGTTCTCTCTCTGCGTGCGCCCTCCAAATGGTACTCCCTATGCCCACGGGCTCATACGGGACAATAAGTTTATTGATGCATTCGCACGTATACGAACCTTGGAGAAGTATCTACAGTAGAGGATGACGGGCGGGCTCACACAGGGCTACCGTTCGAGAGTCACAAGCCGATGTTTGCGGCATTCGGAATCTCTGTCAGCACCTCGTTCGGTGAGGACATCTTGTTCGGCGAAGGTCAGCACTCGCATCCATGAGCCAACGGGTTGCGGGAAGCCTTCCCTGAACTGTTTCACGTTTGCGTCGACTCGATGTCGCTGTGTTGCATCTCGACGCTCTAGTTGAACTCTTGCTTGTTGTTGCCGCTGCCGCTGCGCTTGGCTCTAGCCCCTAACACTCTTTGAAGACGCCACCACCAGGCCACGCTAGAGAGGGTGCAACGGAAACAAAAATGGCGGCGCATTGTTCAAGGCGACTGACGCCAGCCAACCGAGAACAGCTGTCGGGGTTGATGCATGCGCGGCAGAATCAAACTTCGGCCTCGTTTCGCTCGCTCCGCTCTAAGCTGTGGCGTTGTGGAATTCTGGTCGCGAAACGAGTCTTTCAATCCTTCGGATCCGGAAAGGCTCCACACCGGGTATCGTGGCCTCCGTGGACAAGAGCTTCCACCGGGAAGAAATGACAGAGATCGAGATTGGGGGAAGAATGAATACGTGCGGATTTGCTCGCGCTTGTCGACTATGTAGCCATGATTTTCGGAGTTTGATCCTTCTTGTGTCGACGTCTCTCGGCGGCTAGTGGTGAGAGGGTTCTGGAAGCGAGATCTGCGAGTCGCGATACGATCGTGAAATCGTTAAATGGAGTGACATTTCGTTCAGATACCGTCCTCGGTTCTCCGTGGGCAGACCCGACGGCCTCGAAAACTCAGCTGTTTGGAAAACAGGGAGAATCTCCCTTCGCACAACGAGAAGCTGCGGGGTGCCACGAATAATTTAAATGGGAGAGGAATCCCGTGGAAATGCATAGATCCGGGCGGAGCACGGACCGGCAATATTGGAGGAACCAGCGAGAGCTCACGATGTGTCTATCCGAGCATGGACTCGGAGTCTCCTACACTCATAACGAGCGCAAGATCCCCTATGGACTCGTGTCCCGTGATGATGTTCGTACCAGAACATCTCTGTGAAGTCAGAAGGGACAGTCGACAGGTTCAGAACACTTGATTTATTCTCATAATAATAATATCACGTCAGTTCACATCACAGACATCATTCCACACTAGGCTCAAAAAGCTCCCCACAAATGCTAACCGAAGTAGCTGTTCGAATCAAGTGAGCCCTAAGGAATAATTTACACACGTAATAGACACTTGCGATGAAAACGACAAAGAAGTCCTTTCCCGATTGTGGAAACCCCAAGGCTTCATGCCGCCCATTAGGAAATTGCGAGCAGACCCACAATTCGATTCGCAAACTCAGATCATTCAACTCAATCGTTGATATTTGCAATGGTGTTCGATCGTGCACCCAATTTCGGTCGCCCGAACGTAGATTTCGATTGCGTCTGAATCACCTGCCGGTTAGGATTATTTTACGAACTATTTCCTCATACGCAGAGGATTATGACTTATAGCACACTGATTCGGATGAGGGTTTTCTGTTCGAAAAAACTGTAAAAAGCTCGCAACGCTCACCTTGCTCATTATATACTGCAGGGGCTCAACCAGACTCCTTCGGTCCAACGAGGAGACTTCTATTAACCGAACTTTCTCCCTGGTCGCCCAATTGACCTGTGATTAGGAATGAGAAGATCAATAAGGACTCCGCGGATGCCGGGAGAGTTATTTCTTGGCTGAGACGACCCAGGACGAATGAGGAAGTCCCGGCTTACCGCTGTGCCGGCGTCGACGCGTCTCGAATCCAGATCGAGTTTAGTCCCGATGATAAGGAAATGGACATCTTTCTTCGATAAATTCTTATCGATATCCTTCTTCAGTTGCTCCATGATGTTATAAGACTCCATGTCATTCACAGCATAAACCTGCAAAGTGAGGACCGTCCTGGCTTATTGGAGACCGTTGGCGTCGGACCAAACCAACATGGACTAGCGAATACCCAGGAACGACTCCTACCAGCACAAAGGCGTCGGTGTGTGGCATAAGGGTTCTCGGAATGTCGTAGTTCGAGCAATCGATGCCCTGGGTATCGTGGAGGTACACCTGTAATTTTATCGGTTGAGATTTTGAAGACATAGAATAGAATATTTGACCGACGTCCGGGGTTTACGTTCTGTGAGAGAGTTTGAGAACATCCAGTTGGGAGCCTGAGTCGAGCAAAGTAGCTCCGAGAAGTTTTTAAGCACTCACCTTTTCACGTATACCTCGTTCGGTTTCCACATAGCAGCAGTATATATCTTCTATTGTCTGTTGTGATTTCCTCTGCGGCGGTATACCGTAGACCAGCTGCTCGATGAGCGAAGTTTTCCCGCTGCCTTTTGCTCCGCACACGGTGATCCGAACGAATCTATTCTGGTGGTTCTGATGCTTCAGCATTGTTCTGGGGAAATTTTAGACGTGTCACTCAGATCAAAAAGGTGCAGAAGCTTGGATAAATTACTACGCAGTCCGAATTCCCGACGTCGGATCTCTCGACAAATGGTTCGAGACACCGAATCTCGAGACTTGTCGCGCGGAGATTGCACGGGATTGCAGTCCCTGGCGACACTCGGAGAAGTTTTGTGTCCAGTCGCTCCTCGATGTCTATCCGCTGGACATTTCGCAAATCAAGCCCACTCAGACGTCCTCTTCCAGGGAGTAATACGCACGTTGCAGCTCTGAGAGCCGCGTGATACGCTATCGACTGCTCAGTGTACACATCGATCGATGCGAGAGCAGCGACATGGGAGTCATTCAGGTCAGTTTTCCATACCTCCTGAACGAAGTTGGAACTGATTCATGGAAGCACAGCTGCTATCTCGCTCATCTTGAGGATCGAGACTCCGTCTCCTGACACGGGCAGCTTGTCCACACAGCGTGCCTTCCGGAAGCTGCGGAAAGACCTTCCTCGAATCGATTCAGCGAACGAGATAAAGTTTTCCTCCGCGAGAACCTGTCCTGTCAGCTGGTGACGAGTGTTTTCGTTTCTGTCAATGATGGCAGCCGACAGGATTTCTTGGACTTGATGGAAGAAATGATGATGCTGATTCATCACTATAGCAGGGAGATCACTGCGGGCGCTACCAGCGTGCATCGATCTGAGCTTCTCCTTTAGATGAGGGGATTCTCAGGATTTTTCCGCTCAGTTCCCCATGCCGCTCGCGATTTACCGCGAGATGAACTGCTGGTGTGGCGGTGAGCAGTCGACTATAATTAAAGTTAGTGGTTGATCTGTTCATCAGCCAGATTCAAGCATTCTGAATCAGCGGATATGTTTTCTTTCCGATGGCTTTCATCTTACCCTCGACATTTCGGTGCCGACTTCGCTGAACATTCGGTTCGGAAGCGTCCCGATGATCGAGCATTTCGCCTCTAGCTCGGCGAATCTCCGCCTTTCCCTCTGTTCGCTCTTGTATCGTCGAGGTTTCCTAGTATTCTACTAGACGGGCCCGTCGCGCGTTGCCGCGAGCACACCGTGTTCCTCCGTCTCTTCTTTTTCCCTTTCTCTCTTGTTCCCCATGCCCATTCCGGGAGTTTTCCCCATTTTTTCTTCTTCCCGCCTTGTTCCCCTATATCCTCATTTACGTCAATTTTCTCAATTCTTTCCCGTTACTCCTTCATCCCCCTTTGTCCTTAAATCCCCCTTTCCTCTCTTTCTACCCGTTTCTCTCTATTTACCCGTTCCTCCCTGCTCCCCCACTTCTCCCTATTTACCCGTTCCTCTCTATTCCCCCGTTTCTGTCGGTCGACCCGCTCCTCTTGATGACTCCGTTTCGCTTATCATCCCCTTCCTCTCATTTTGGTTTTCCGTTGCTGCCCCGTATCTTCCACTCGTCCACCGATCTCTCCTTCCATTGAATCCCTCCGTTTTCCGTCGTTTCCCGTCTCCCTCCTCCGAGATCCCCTTTTCTCTGCCTCCCCAGTCCCTTCACCTCTTGACTAGGCCTTCCAAAGATCCGTGAAATTTGAGATCCGCAGATCCCGGATCCGCGGATCCGTTGGGCTCGGATCCGCACCAAACCGGATCCAGAAAAAAATACGTATACACGTGTACAACTTATGTACAGTTCTCTGCGGATTCGCTGCTGATCTCCATATGTTTATGATATTTATGCGGAGCCTACCCTGAAGCATTTCATGCATTTTCCGCTTTTGGAACTCCTCAAGAAATGTTTCCAAACCTGGCTCGTCTGATCCGTCGCTACCTTGAAGTCCTCCATGATGAGGAACGCTCCATCTAAATACAAGGAGATCAACAAAAATCGATGTACGGGCTCGTCCCGGCAGGAGGGCTGCAGTTTATTCTCGATAATTTTAGGCTCTACAAACTTGTTCGCGGGGAGCAGTCCAGATCACGAACTGCGGAATAAGAACGCGTGCGCATGAGGTATGAACAGTTGTCTCTCAGCTGCTATCGACCGGATCCCGGTCATAAGTCGCAGCGAAGTCCGACGTGCAGAGCCGTCATGTCGGCGGGGAATGAGTGAGGGAACAAGCCCTCAGTTTTGAGACGAGAGGTTCCGAACCGAAATGAGAAATTCATGACTCGCGTTACCTGCTTCCTCCATCGGAGAAACGCGATTAATGGTCGTTTTCCCCCCGACTACTATGTATGTACGATGGTTTTTCCCTACACTCGTGGAATTCGTGGAACAAACTCGTGCGGATCCTGCGGATCCGGATCCGTAGAAATCCTGCAGATCTTGCGGATCCAGATCCGCGAAAATCATGCGGATCCGGATCGGCGGATCCGCTGGAAGGCCTACTCTTGACCCCTTCCCTCTCTCCCGAAGGTTCATGATCTTCTTACATCCGTCAATGCGTCTACCTGCTGCCTTACCTCTATTTCCAGCAGCGGTGAATGGAAAATGGGAATCACTGGATTCGGATTGCTCCGGATCGTGCGGGGACAGTCCCCTGATTCGCCAAGGTCTGAAGGGGAACCCTTTTACCCCTTCTCCAGTGATTCGCTGAGTAAGTGAATCCACCCGACTCCCTGTTCCACCTTTGTCCAGCCGAGCGAGGGAGTATTGATCCTCACGTTCAACAACGGAGCACAAAGTTGAATGCAAAAAAAATTATGCGGCGGAACGGTGAAGTGCTGACAGACAACAAGCCCCTCAAACTCTTCGGGAAATCTAGGTGGACTAACTGACCAAAATTCACGCCGATCCGCCTCACGGTTCAGAAACGTGTTGGCGAAACACTGACAGACATACATTCGCTTATCAGATCAGCGTAGCAGGTACGGAAGTTATAATCGGCTCCGGATCACATAACGGTTTTGTCGAGAGAATCGAGAGCACTGAATTCTTCGTCCGATCGGGCAACTCCCCACACTGCCCGGAGAACAGGGAGTGCTATCGGCGGTCAATCGAAGCAATTTCCGTATAACACGTCTGACACACTGTTCGGCCCTAGCTTCAGACCCCTCTGGAGTCTCTGGAGTCAAACGTATGTCCATGATGCTCGATCGTTATGGATAGCTGTGACGTATCGCAAAAATCCAGCTCAGCTCGGCGGAGTGCACGATTCAGCCAGTGGCGTAGCATGCCTCGATGATGTCCGGGGCGGATCCCTGAAATCCCGTGCCGGGACATCGATATGATGCCCTCTCCCTCTCTGATTTATCGAAAACCCAGATCTGTCATTGCACGATCGGAATACCGATGGAAGTCAATATAAGTCTCCATTCATTATTCATCACGACCGAAACTCGAGGAAAAGGCTTTCTGGGAATTCCATCGAGCATTGTGCTGCTCGGGGCGGACCGCCCCCCTCGCTACTCAGTCAGCCCCCGAGGACGATTTTAGAGACGTATTACGAATAGGGCCCGGGAGTCCGGCATTGCTACTTTCAAAACTCGGAAGCCCCGCTAGCCCTAAATCTCATGGGCATCGGTACTCTCGGTCATCGAGATCGCCCTCGACCCACCCGTTGAGCGGTTCGCTGTCCTTGGGTCCCACCAGTCGGCCCCTGGAGGGGTCTTGCATCTTGTTTTCTTGCATCTGTGACGGAAGGAGCATAAGTTGACGGAGGTGCCGGTGGAAGAAGACGGGATTCAGACACTGGGAGCAGAATAAGCAGTTCGCGACGTCTGTGGCTCTCTAATTCTCTCATGTCATTCGACTACCTAGATCCTAGATACGCAGTGGACTACGCCTTATGGGAACACCGGCTCATGGGATCTTCCGCTTCATCGGATGGCTCCCAAAGAGTGCGATTGATTTGAGCTCCGGCTAATCGGATGCTGTCGAACATGTGAACGAGCATTTCTACATGATCGAAGTCGACTCAGCTCTCCTGGGGATCAGGTTGTTCCGAATCTATTCGGAAACGAATCCGTCGACACCGGGGCATGCGGGAGGACTTCTTTCGACTCCTTGGGGGACCGTTCGATTTCCCGAGTGCATTCCAATGGGGAATACAGTTTCCGTTCATCGAGTCGCCATCTGCGCTAGAATCAGGCGGGGCGACCTCCGACTCGGAGGGTCTGGATCTCTCTCCGACGGAAACTCTAAAACTTCGTGAAGATGGTCTCAGTCTGGTGGCATCAAAGATAACTTCATCTCCGCGTCTTCAGACATGCATTGTGTCCGAGGATCCAGTCGAGATACTGGTCCGCCATGGGTCGCCGAGTCGCCGACAACTAGAAAGCTATGCTTAAATGTCTCGCTCTACGGAACTAATCCCTCCCTGCCTGTGAGATGCCGCCGCTACTGCATCTCTATGATGCTCGGTCGTCGAGAGGCCACAAAGCTTCTTCAAATAGCTCAGACGACATCCTTCAGACTGTCTTCGGGGCTTCTGAGCGGCAACTGAAGCAGAAACAGAACGCGGACTTCTTCCGTCTGTCTCTGAAGATCGTCAACCGATAAGTCGATTCGCTAGAAATACTGTCGCCGTCCGATAGAGGTAGACCTACGATAATAGCTCCCGCAGACACTCTCAACGACCAGGCCTGTAAGTCAGTCAGACTCGCCGTCAGGTAGGTAGGTAGGGAGACCGAGCGAGCGACTTATCAGCGGAGCGATATAAACTGATAACGGCTGCGAAGCGTCGCTCCTATGCACATGATAAAAATTAATCAGAAGCTACTTGACGCGAAGTGCTGAGCGCGATAATGACTAGTTTACGACCGGCATTCTCGAACTTCAGAAAACGTCCGAAGCTATCCCGTTCTGAGAATTGAGAATTCTTGCCATACTTCTGTTTCGCATACCGCTGCAGTCAGGAAAGACATATCGAGGGAAGATGCGATCTACGCGTTTTAGAATTATATCCCGAGTCCATCTATTATTATCGACCCTGGAGATGGCTGCGACCATGGCCTTCTCCATTTGCCCATTTCACTTATTCTTGTCCATGAACCGAGATAAGTTCCGTTACCGAAAAACGAGACGGACCACGCGTGATTCCAGCCCGGAACGAAAGCTAGGAGGGAAGAGCACGAAGGCGTTGATGGTTTCCGACGATTTACCGAGATTCGTGTGCAGGAAATGTCGAATGTTGATTCGTCGTACCCCCGGGTTCGCCGGCTTGGCTATGCGGTCCAGCTGCGGACTAAGTCACAATATCGATCCTCGTGTCTACGAACCATACGCAGTGCTCGGAAGCTCGATCGAAGTCTCAATTTTCCCATCTACATTGTCCCGTTTCCGTACGTGGAATCCGACGCTTCACCAGACGCGAGTTTCGACGCTCCCCCGGACGCGTTCCATCCGCGATAGAGCTTTGCTTATCGTTTCCTGATATTGAGAGACTTGGACTCAGTACCTGCGAGTCGACGAGTAGCGAATTAACTCAATCGAGCACCGGCTTGCGTAAACAGACAAACAAGGCACCCCGCCTAGCTACCGGCGGCTAGGCCGAAGCGAGACACCGTGACGGCGAGACTTGAGTATCACGCGATTTGACGAAGGGTCGCGAAGCCCAAACGAGCGGATATCGTCACGACGACGAGCTAACTTCAGACTTTTGCTTCCTCGAACGCTGTCCCGAGCATTGAGTGAGCGCAACCGAAAAGCGGACGGACCGACGGAACCGAAGGACGGCGGAATCGACGGGAACATTTCGTCTCGAGGAAAAGAAAGAAGCCGCAACTGACTCTCTAATTGGGCGACGAGCGGAGAAGCGACCAGGCGCCGACGGAGTTGCCCCCACCAACGCCATCGTCGCCGACCTATCATCAAGATGTGAAACTTTCCTTCACCGCATTCAAAGGAGTGAGCAAACGAGCGAGCGGATATCTCGCCCGAGAAGTTCAGCCCGTCCGACGGTCCATGGCTCCGGCTAGCAGCCACCCAGTCTCTAGATAGTGATACAATCACAGTCATCAGCTCTATGACTTCTAACTTGGCCACTGATTCGAGCGACCGTCAGATCGAGCGAACGAGTGAAAGAGAGTCTATGTCGAGACGCGTACGATGACGACTGCTGTGGGCGAATTCGGTAGGCCAGCCGGCTCGGATGGCGGGCCATGTTTGTTTTTATGTCGAAAGATCGGGGTTTCGAGTCCGCCGGATTTCGTTGAAACAATTTCATCGTAGGTATTTGAGCTTCCACATTGGACACAGCACAAATGACGGGTGCTCGCCGTGGTCGATAGAGCAAACGAACGCATTGAGACGAAGATCGCTATCAAGTTCGGAAATTCGGATTGCGATTCGGAGACTGCTCAGCTTTCATGTCTGGAGGAAATGTCGCCATCGTCCTCACATCGAGCACATGTTTTTACGTGGAAAATCAGACTCATGTAATCGATGGGTGAATCTGAATGGAAAAACAATCGCCTCGGTCAGTGAATTCCGCTTCCGGGAAAGCATCCTATCCGCCGAATTCGAGATGAAAATTCGGGCATTCGCATGAGGCTGTGGAAGAGATCGATCTCGCTTCACGGCTAGAACTTCATCGGGTCGAGGGTGGACGCGGATGTCGAGAAGATCTCATGAAATCCTTGCTTCGTTCAGAGCGAGCCGTGACTCCGACGCCGGAAACAAAGCCAGAAAATAAAGATCGGCGCTCAAATGGAGACTTCCGAGGATGCTCAGAGCCCGGAAGCCTGCCGTCCTTCCTCCCGGATCGTCGACTCGACTATCCAGATCGGATCGGACTGACGAAGTAGAACCGCCCGATCGAATCAAGGATCATGCATGTTCCGGCTCCAACAATCTGAAATCGGAAACGGAAATGTGTTTTCTCCTCCGATCGAAGGCGATATTCCCGATTGTACCTTCGAATGCCATGGAAGACGAATCCCCTGTTCTCCCCCTGTTCTTCCCTTATCTTGCCCCCATTCTTCCCACTCCTTCCCTCATCTTCCCTCTGAGAACCATCTTTGGAGAGCGGATACTTATTTTCCTCGCTCGGATTCTGTCAATTCCTCGCTTGAGGAAGACAGAGGTAACCGACGATTGGCTCGAAAAATCCCATGGGTACAGCTGTGCGTTGTCCTCGCCGAAAAGAAGTTTCCAAGCCGCGGACTTCCACCTGTGGCCCCCGGGAAGGAGAGACCGTGCCTCCCGATACGTCCATGTCGCGACACGCGCGAAAGTAGTTCCAATGGGTGAGGTATGAATCGGTCCAATGGACGTCACGCGTCGGCAGCATCTACCTAGGGCCTCTACGGGAATCGGTTCTGCTGCAGAAGGGTCCGATAACTCGGGTGATCCCATTTCACAGCGATCCCATTCAATATATTCGACTTTATGGACAGCCGGAGCGGGAAGACCATCTCAATATATTCGAGGCAGCTGCTCAGGTTGGGGAGTGTAGGTAAATGAGTCACGTTGAAACAGGAGTGGGAACTTGCGGGTTCTGTCTTTCGAGCTGCCACGAGAGCTGAATCATGAGCTATTGCTTCGCAATCTGAAAGCTTCTGTGGAAAGCGAAGCAAGTCGCAGGCGATCGCATGACTCGAAGAGGACCCATACCGATGGGTATCCCAACAGTGAGAATTGAATCGTCACAGAATTTTTCAGCGATTTCCGTGAGGGTTCTCACTCAATTTATTCTGAGGCGTTTTCGAGGCGAATCTGCCGGGAGAGGCTGAGAACGTGAAATGTTCGGTCAGACTCTAGCTCGAGCCAATGATAAATAATCGTCCGGACCGATCAGACACCGATGAATTGAATGAGTAGTCGCTACATGAGTCATGTAGTAGCATTACTTTTTGACGCGGCGACCGTGCTCGCGATACGAAGGGTACAGCGATACGACTGACTGAGACCGTTACCCTTATGGAAGCGAGCTCCAACATCGATCGAGTGCCCAGACGTGAACAGTAAACGCATGCCCCGCATGCCTCGATCAGAGGGCCCTCGGCGACCCCGAGCGGGAGGCGGATTGAAGAAACGCCCAAGATATCTCCTTCTCTTGACTCCCATTTCGACTTCGCGGAATCGATCGACAAGCCAATGGAGATGATGTGCAAGGAGACTGGAAGCGGAAGTTGTCATCGACCTCTTCAATCAGCCTTGCGGAGCTCTGTCCTCACTGAGTGAGCTCGACACGGCTTTTCCCTCAGCCAAGCCGTATGACCAGGAGAAGCATCAGGATTTCTCACCCTCGAAGCTGTCCTCAGGTGAAGCACGGCTCGTTCGCGAGGCCACTGGAGGCTATTTCGTCAATTTGCGGGATCGCACTCATTTCGGCGATGCTTCGTTTGAATCATCGCTGCGATTAAACACCTCGCATCCGTCTCTGTTTCGAATGTTCGAAGTGTCTCCGTTGATTGTCCACAAGAAAACCTATTCTTTGATTGCTCCCCACCGCAATCGAGGAGTCCCTCCTAACTTATTTTCCCTCGGTTCTTCCCGAGCGAATCACAGCCAATTATCAATAAGATCGATTCGCTTATCATCGACAAGAGCCTCAAACGCCAATCGTCACCGAGATCATCGCGACGACGGAATCGTTTATCCCTCATTCATCTTTATGCAGTCGCCGTTGATATCTCAATATCCTGGGCCTGGTCGGGCATCCCAGCTTATCGCAGTACGACGAGAGACGTCTGAAGCAGCTGCTTTGTCGACAGCGACGACGTCATCGACGTTGTGGGTCCACTTTTCATCAGTGAGGCGGTGGTCGACTCTACGTGGACCGCGGCCAATTACCGCGCGGTTCGTCTTAGGCGGCGACTGGGGGGCTAATCAGACGCGACGTCTTTTCGCTACCAGATCAACATCATCATGATCGTCTCGTCGCTCGTTCTCGGGGAGGGGTGTCTTGAGCAAACACACAGTCAACGAGCGGATGACTCGGTAGAGCGACACACAGACAGAGAGACGGACGGACGAACGGACCTACGGACACCAGCCAGTCAGCCAAGCATGCCGACCGGTCGACAGTCCGGGAGGCAGGAGGAGGAGATCTCCAGCAGAAGATACAGTGGCGACGGCGGCGGCCGCCGGCGTCGTTGTTGCTGTTGTTGCCTCGTGGTCGCAGCACCGGCCGCAACGAGAAACCTTCTTTCCACGGCTGGCTGCATGGCGCCAACAGATCCCTCTCTCGTCGGATCGAGCGAAACCAAGACCCTTGCTGTCAGAGCAAGTCTCTCAGATCGTGCTAAACAGTGATTCGGTTCAAGTCGTGATTCGTGTTTCAATAACCGGTGTCACAGTCAGTTCGCTCGGAGAACACCAGGACTCGTTCTTATCTCGGTGCAGCAAGATGGCTATTTACCTCCGACTACTGGTCTTCGCGATTGCTATATCGTCTCTCATTGGAGGTTTGTGTTCTTTTTTCTAATCCTGAAAATTCGTCGTGAGACCCGTATATCGTACTCGGACGGTGTTCGGATCGCTGCGCGAAGAGCTCCCCTGTCCTCTGATAGTTTCGACTTCCGACGCAAATCAGAGACATCAATCATGAGACCTCCTCGTCTCAACTGAAAATGATTCCATCTTGGCGGTCGGGTTGAGAAGATGATCTCGGTTATATCTATCTGGATGTCCCAACACAATATCTCTGTGATTTTCGTTAACACTCGAGTCGACCATATGGAAAGTTTTACGATAATCCCTCCACGATATGCTCATTCCGGGGTCCCGCCCGTGCAGAAACGTTCCATGTGACTTCTCTTACTCTCTTGAGACTTCTAGTCGTGGTGCTACAGAGGGCCGGGATTCGAAACGTCGATCCGGCTGTCTCGGAGGAGCTCGTCCTTTCTATAGCTCCGATCAGGATTCCATTCGCTCGAAGACCTGTACTCCGAGGATCTCTCTGGCATAGAATGGAACGATCAATGTCAGCCTCGTATCGATTGCTCATAAGGGAACTATCCAAAAATATCGTCGAGCAACAGGTTCGATTTACCTGGGTCCGGTTCGCTCGATGTGACACTGGCTGTAAGAGTGATGCGACAAGAGGTGACTCATGCCTCTGATACTTCTCGAGGACCTTCAGTGCGCGAGTCGGACCCTGCACGGCTCGGGCAGGTCATTCCTACTCGCTCCGATCTATTGTGGTCCTGCGCGGCATCTCAACAGCCTGAGGAATCTCGTCCCCGTGCAGAAAGACACGATCTGAGCAATTCAGTTCCGTATAGCTAAGTTTGATTAGGAGGAGGATCCTGGAATCTCGTGTGTATCTACTCGATAGCCAGAAGGCTCCGGTAGATCGGCGATCGGAACGATCGAGATCGATTGTATAGATTGGATCGAGCGAGTTCCGGGAGAAAAGAAACGGAAATCAGAGAGCACTCGTAAAATTCCCGGGGCCATAGGCGTCTGTCCGGAGGCGATCTCGAGGATTCCAGAGAATCCCTGTTCCAATGTGAGGGCTCTGAATTTCGATTCCGAGTTTAGTCGAATCCGGTGCTCTCAGCGATCTCCGTTTTTCACTCGTATCGTGTTTGGCGATCGAACGAGTAATGTACCTTGCTGATTGCCGTCTACTAATGAATGTGGCCCTGGTGGTATTCGTTGACAAGCCGTCGTCGGACGCGCTTCCACAGCCCATTTTCGAGCGGCGGATGAGGCGGCAGCTTCGAGCTCGAATCTGGGTCCGTAGGTAAGATGTCGGATTCTTTGCCGCGTCGAAGCCTTCCAGACAACCGAAGCAACATGTTTCTTCAAATCGCGGGCTGAATCATCCGATCTTGAGTTTCTCTCTTCGGTTTCACTGGAATCCCGCGCTGTTCACCGAAGCGCCGACCTTTAATCGTTACCTACGTTACTCGATCGTTGCATCATGCACGGACATGCTCGGCTAGCCGGACGGGCGGCTGAAAATGATGTCATACCTCCCTCGGAGTCGGGAGGAATATGAGAAGCTTCGATGGCGAGCCAGCCAGCCAGACAGCCAGAGAACCTGCCAGACGGTCTGGCAGAACGTTCGAGGGCTGGAACAATGGTGTCGATGGTGATCTTAATGGCCGGCATCGAATTTAAAAGGGCGTCGCGTGTATGTTTACATCTCCTTCTCCAGGCTCTCGCTTCGTGAACTCTGCAGAGCGTCGTTATTTCGTAGAGGTTCCGCGGAGTTCGCCGAGGCCGTCCACTTCCATTTCACTTTTGCGAGAGAACTCGTCAGACAGAACGAGAGTGAAAAAAAATGGATCTAAGCGTATGGGGAAAAGTTCGAGAATGGGCGGAACAACATTCTTTCAGAAATACCCCCTTGCATTGTTCGAACACTTCACGCATGAACGCCTCCGGCTGGACTGGATTCTTTTGCTTGATGAACTCCGAGTCGGAGTCCTCAAGCAAGAGAGCATCGACCAGAGAATAGACACCGAGCGAGACAATAATACGCGACAGAACACCTTCTGCTCTCGTATTATCACAGCGAGACTGGCCGGTTGCGGCCGGCGGGCCAGCCGAACCTAACCTAGTCTCGGAGCTCACTCAGCTCCGCGGAGCTATCGCGACAATGTCTGTCTATCCGTCCGTCCGTATGTCTGTGTGTATGTATGTATGTCTATCTCGGTCGGACCTTCGTTTGTGTGTATGAGTGTGAGTCCGTCTGAGCGTAACTACGCTTGTTACAAGATACATAGTAGCTACTCCGGACGGCCGACGGATCGACCGGCCACGAGGAGCCCATGAGCGCACAGGTCTACGGATCTGTTTTGTATGAGGTTCTTCGCCCGCCTTTGTGCCGGATCCGTTCGCTCTTCAGATCTCGAGTTGGTAGCCGTCCCATTGTGTAGCCAAACATCGTTTGAGGTTCAACAGATCGCCAAGTCCAGCTCTCGATATGTCGACATGGCTCTCGAGGAGCGCAAGTGGCTCAAGCCAAAGTAAACTCCGGCAGACGGTCAATACCGTTAAACATGCACACTGTGTTGTCGCTGACGACAAACGTCAAGGTTATCCACTGTCTTCCGACAAGTGGGCAGCGACCCAACCGTCGTTGACCGGCCCGGAAACGGCGGAACAGCGAAGAACTCGGAATCAATTCGGAATTTCTCGCTCGCCGGGGCATGCGGAGTCTCACGACCTCCGCCAGGTCGATTTTCCGTTGGAGGCAGAATAGATCCGCGATGGGCTCCGTCCTCCCAATGACTCATTTACGTGGATCATGGCATTCCGATTTTGTTCCATGAATCCCGAGCCCCCAGAACACCCTCTACAGATTCGGCAGCAGCGTCGGCGGCTGGCGCCGATTGTCTGTCTCAACTCCAGGATCAGAGATGAGCGGCTCGTTGTTAGATTCGACCATCGGATACTGCTAGACAACAGAGCGTTCAGTTCGAGCGCCGCCGCTCGATCGGGATAACATCTCCTGCTCTCTACCGATATCATTGCTCGGATCTCTTCCTCAAAGAATCATTACAATTGATGCCCGCGAGTCAGTCGGCCAGACAAGCAGTCGGTCGGTCGGTCGGTTGGTGAGACTTCGATGCCATCGTTCCTAAGCCCGAGATCGCTTCATTTGAGCCGAATGAGCGTAGAGACGATCTCTTATCATCGAATTGTCTCGAGAGCATCCGCTCTTCGGATAGCCAATTAGAGAATCTTCTGCTGAAGCCCAGTCGTTTTGGATGTTCTGTTTCGTCTCCGGGAACATCGCCTCAAGTAATCCAAATGGAGTTTACGAAATCTCGACGCGATGTTTATAAGGATTCGGAGAGCCGGTCGGATGGATAGGTACTTTCAAGTATCGTCGTTCGAGGGGTTCGGGACGGGAGTGTTTACGCGATTCGACCGAATCGGTAAACTCAAAATCATTGCCCGCTATAAAGCGCAGTCATCTGGTTTGGTTATTCCCGCTCCCATGAACAGCTCTGTTTTCTATACTTTCTTTTCTTCGCTCGAGTCAGCTGTTTCCTTCGACCGTCCGCCGACAAATGCCGCTTCGGAGATCTCGAGCGGACACGAGTGTCCTTCCGTAGCTTCCCTTGTTGCCAAGTACGATGTTGGTACGAGAATTCATGTTTGCCCCAACGTCGACGAAAATAATTTTTTTTCGTCATCGAAGCTGACTTCGGGAGCCGAATTTCAGCGCCCCGATGTCTCTAGAGAAATTCGTCTCCAACGACAAATCTCCAAAGGAGGCATCGGGTCAGACGTCGGTTCTGAGGTTTCAACTCGTAATTCTAGTTGTGATTCGGTTCTACGGGACGTAGACAACAGGACGGACGTAGGAGGCCACGAAGTTCTGAATCGTAATTCCTGGTTGCTCTGAGGTCCGACTGTGACGAGTTCTTCAGCGAGCAACCCGTAATTTGGGGGTACTTTAGGTTGGGTTACTTCTCTAGAAATCCCTCGCTCCGCTCGGTCGGTCGGCCGGTCGGTCCGTCGGTCAGGCGGTGTGTCTATCGGTCGTATGTTTGTCCGTCTGTGTGTCAGTTCGTAGGTTGTCGTCGGTCCGTCCGTCCGTCTGAGGAGTAATCATCATCATGCTCGTACGGCTGTATACGCTGATGACAGCCGGTCGAGATGTGACTGAGGGATTCCGTGACCGAAATGTTTGAAAAGGCCCCCGGCTTGATTGAAGACAGCGAAACGCGCCACCGTCAGACCTCATAACGCATCACGGGAACAAGCGGACGTCATGAAGAAATCCTGCGTCTGCTTCGGTTCCGATTCGATATTTTCTCTCCAGAATCCTAAAAAAATGTCCAGCATAAGGTACCGCTAGCTCAAGATCATGAATCATGATGGCGCTCGCGTTCGTGTGGCGAGCGTAGAGAATATCGGTCCGGAGCACGGTATTCTCCCCGCCGAAGAGATCTTGAGACCTTCCGAACGAACCTACGACGATACTCTCGGGGATCCGTCGGTCGATGGATCTATCGCTCTTGAGATCGTCGTCAGACGATCCCTGAAGAAGATCCGTGTACATGTAGAAGTTTCGCCCGCTACGAGGACGAGCCGTTCGGAAAACCCCGGTGGAAAGCAGTATCGGCGACGAGAAGAGAAAAGTAGAAAAGAGACGAAAGCTCCCAATAAAAGCTGGAGAGACCGAGAACGCCTCCTCCTACATGCCGGTATCTTCGGTCGGGATCGCTAGTCGCGTTGGTTCTTTCTTTCTTCTCCGTAACTTGGGATGCAGGCTGTCTGGTTGACTGAATCGTTCGTTTGCTCGAGCGGGTTCCTTTCGCGTCGCTCCCTCGGGCGGGCGCTCGCTCGTTCGCTTCGGCTGGCTCGGTTTGTCGCCGCTCGACAGTTTCGCAGTCTGTGATCCCCGATGAGCTGGCGGCGACTTCGAGGACTTCAAGGAATTTTGTCTGACGTTCGATTGCATGCGAGAGACTATCACGCTGCGAATAGCGCGTCAGCGACTTCAACCTGCTACGAACTCGTCTTACCGAACTCTGTTTGGAAGCTCGACGCTGTTCCCGATCTCGCTCAGCGCACGGGACACGAGTGCGATCGGAACAGATTTCCAATCGCTGCACGGCATAGGAAAGCCCCCGAAAGGAGCTCTCGACACCAAATGACAGGGGAAAATCCGATCTTTCCCTTCGGTCTCTGGGCTCGAGATGCAAAGCAAGGCCCAGACACTGTCGCTGACCTGAAACACGAAGACTCCGAAACGGCGATCGGGCTCGAGCAGCGCATTGTTGCGCTCCCAATCGCTCTCGGATTTCGGATTAGTAGCAATACAAATCCCCTGAGTCGGTCCGCTGGTTTTCCCTCTCGCATTTTTCGTTGAGACTCGGTGCTCTGAATCGCGACCGGGGGCATTCGAACGGATCGGAACCCGTTCGGTGTCCGGAGCTCCGAGAGAATCGAAACCTGTTAAAAGGCTCCTCGGGCACCCATTTCAGAGTGCGAGAAGAAGTATCGAGTTTCAAGCTCGGGCGTGGGTCCATCCATCTGGAACGGAACACCCGACCGCGTCCCGTACGCGATCTTCCCGACGGAGCGCGTTCGCTCTCGTCGACAGGCTGACCGCCTTTCGGAGTCCTCAACGGGTCTCGTGAGACGGTGGCTCTAAAATCATCCATCGTTCCTCCGAGCAGATAGGAGAATATTTTCTAAATCCTCTACTCTGACGGTTTATCTCGCTGTCGTTCCGCAGAAGTCTGACTCTTCGAGTCTGACGGTCAAAGTTTTTCTTTTTTCACGATTTACCCACGCAAGGCGCGACGTCAAGTACTCTCGCTTTTCGTCGACGACGAAGAACGACGATACTAACCTCTTGGGGATTTTTCTTCGCTCTCGTTGACCGAGCTGCACGGTGGATTGTTTATACTGGTCGGGTACTTAGACGAGATTTCGCGTGTGCTTCGTGGATTGAGTTAAGCCTTAAAAATGGCCCACTGGTCGCTGCCTTGTCATCGTAGCGTAGTCCTTCCACGAACAAGTTCTTCGGACGTTATCTAAGTAGCCCTACAGAGTCTTCACCGGCGGCCTCTTGGTTCGGGTTTCGTGAGGAGCTGCTGCCGTCAATGCCGCCAGCAGCGGATCTTCTGTTTGAGGCCCCGTAATTTTCGTTGGGCATTTGTTTGCTTAAGGCCAGGAAGTACATTCTACAAATGATCCACGGATCATGCTTGTCGGAGCAAACTTTCTCCGCGCTAGCTCGTTCCCCACTTTCCGCTACAGAGTCGGAGCCGTCGATTTCAATCGGGCGGGCTCTGCTCTACGGGCTCATCTACGAAAATCTCGGATGCGCCCTGGGCCGCGGACTCCGTGTGTTCAGACTCCGCAGTCGCGCTCGTTTTTCCTACTCCATCCGGTGGCCCCTTCGAGAACTACTTCAGATGTCCTCCGAGAAGAAAAGCCTCGGGGATTGGAAAAGATCAACAATGATATTCGACGGAGGCCCTCCAGACCCCCGCGGAGCTGTAATGAGTTCCATCATGATGAAGATCTGATGACAGGCAGACCACCTGATCGAGACAAGCATCGCAGAGAAAGCCGAAGATGACCTCCGTAATTTTTTCTCAACGTCAAATCAGGTTTCGATCTTTCGACGGGAGATCTTCATCGTGTGGCGCTCGGGGTTGAGAAATGCTTTCGATGTCAGCTCTCATGTCGACGACGGGACTAAGTGATCGGAAGGACGCGACGAGGGTTGCTGTAGCATCGCCACGAGTCACCAGCTATTCGGGAAGAGTGGTTTTCTCCCCACAACGCCCGTGGGAAGATTCGGTTCTCCAGGAGAACCGGGAGGAGAAACGACTACGAGGCGCGGTGTTTTCTGAACAGAGAATTCTCCCTCCTTGAATTCTTGAAAGTACCGTCTCTGCGTCTGCGCTAACCGATTTCAATTATACTACTACTCCGATTGGTTTGCCTTCTAAGAGGAGCGAGCAGAGATATTCTCTATTAGCGATTCCACGCTGAGCAATGCCGTCTGGTCGTCCGGCGGGCCGGCTCCGCGACGTCTGAGAGCGTCTTCGTCGATAATGTGGAGTGAGGCGGAACGGAGCGATGGGGAGTGCCCCTCGTTTCCTTCCTTAATAGATTCTCTAAAGGGTCGTTTATTAGAAGTCGCCATACTCTTTAGATAAGTCGACCCGGGCAGCAAACAGTCGCCGCCACCGCCGACGACGACGTCGTCGCGGCGGATATTGCCGGCAGACGGAAACGGACCGACCGATTTGCGTCTGCGGCAATTTCTTTTTTCTCCCCGTATCGGCGTCTCGATAACGAAGTTCTTCTTCTCCTCTCCCTAGGAGCCTGGGCCGCTTCCTACAATCTGCAATGCGCCTGTACCACCGATCTGTGCAAAGCACAGAACAAGACTACCTGCGACAAGGCAGCCATGTGCTTCACGCAGTACCTGAAGCGTCGAGACGGATCGGATCCTATCACCAGAGGCTGCATCACGAGCAGAACTTCGCTTCTATGTGAAAACCGACGACCAGCCGTGGCAAACTGGCCGGTGCTCGTTTGTTGCAAGAATCAGTTCTGCAACGAGCAACTGCCGGCTCTGTTCGTTGATCTCGTCGGGAACGTGACCATGAGTCCTCCGGTTCCTGTCCCCAGTAAGTATTTCGGTAGTTCTGCGCCGTATCCAAATGGGAGGACCATGTCGAAAACGAGTGGATTTAAACGAGGCGTCTTATTAATAGGCCGTTCCCCTTCCAGGCAACGCGGTGCCAGCCGACAAAAGTCCTACCGAAACGGAGGACGGAACCGAGGAGGTGGAGGAGGAGGAGGAGGAGTCCCGCGACGAGGAGACAAACGCCAATTACCCCTCAAACAAACAGGACACCAACTTTGAAAGCAACAAAATCTACAATAATCCTCGCTTCCTCGGTACCATCAAACGGCCAGAAACCAAGATCACGGTTCAACATCCCGCCGATCGCGGACTCACCATGTTCCACGCAGCCATCCTCATCACCGCTCTGGCCTTCCTATTCCTATTATTTCTGGTTGGTTTCATCATTCTTCGACGCCAAGCACGTCTCTTCAACACACCGTACATGGCTCCAAGCAGTTACTCGAAGGAGGTCCACCTGAGCCATCACGACCACCATACTGCTCCGACAAGGATGCCGTTGCCAAGAGGACTTCCGGTGCAAATGGCGCGGACCGCCTACGACAACAAGGTTCTTCATCGGCAGCCTTAGAGATCGGAGCCGTTGAAATGTTAATTTATTCAAGTTACCTATTTGAGTTGCCGTCCGTGACTGTATATACTTTTTATATATTAAATAGTGAGAGTAGGGAAATAGTAGGGGATGCTGCGGGGAGCACCATCGACAATCGATGACGATGGTTGTATTTAAGAAAATTTGTATTTATCGAAAACGGCGAATGTTGATGCCAGTTTAAATGATGATATTGCTGATGACGACGATGGCGAGGTCAACCGGAGCGATCAATTGGTGCGTGAAAACTCAGAGAGGCCCGAGGTAGAAGGGATGGAAGACGAGACGATCTACCAGTGTTCTCCGTATTCGAGGGGATAAAACCACAGAAAATGAACCTGTCTTCCGTGTCGTCCTACGATGTAAATAAATCGTGAGATTTTCGCGACGAGCCTGATTGTATTCATTCCACAGCCCGAACGTAATGAAGAGGAGAGAGTTCCGAGTGGAGAGAGTCCCGAAAGAAGATCGTGGCATGAAAACTCAACATGAGCATATTCTTCATTTATTTTCCCCGGTGAAAAATATTTATTCTCATAGCGCATTTGCGTATTCTCTAGATTAAAATATATACATCCACCATCTTCCTTGAACAATGAGCGAAACATCCGCATTTTCTTTCGCTGTCGCGAGATCATCCATTTACAGCAGTGAGCAATCGACAATACGCACCGTTTAAGATTGAGTTCGCGAATCGGTTCTGCAATTTACAAATACTACCAGAGAGCCAAGCTCAAAGCTCTTGCTTGTCGTGGTTGCACACGTCGAAGAAAACATCGTACTCCTTCCGGTTGCAAGTACCGTTCTCTTTGAATGCGTATTTGTGGAAGGAGCCATCCACGCAGATTGCGTAGACCGAGCTGTTTTGTCCCCGATCCGTGTTAGATCCGAAAGCGCAGATGCATGCGCATTCGGCTGACACGGTGAAACTCGCAAGAGCCCATTGGCTTTCGACGTACATCGAGATAAATCCTAAGCTTGAGAATTTCGACCTGCGGTTCAGTTGCGTGTTAGCCAAGGCGAAGATGTGGACTGTTCCCTTGTCCGACGAGCAGCACAAGAATCTGTCGTCGTGGGAGAAGTTAATGCAGTAGAGCGTCGCAGGATCCGAACCGCGTCGAAGCTCCACGAGATTGCTGCGTTTAGCCGTATCGAAAACTCGGATAAGTGTGCCTGCGAAGAGAGACGTCCTGGCAATTGGAATCTGTCCATGAAGTCTTGTCGCTGACCCTCATGCTCTGGATGAGTAGGGGTCGCATGCAGGAATAGAGCGCGAAAATTCACCTTTCTGACTTGCGGTCGCCAACATGGTAGCGTTTTGGTTCAAGGTGAAGCATTGTAGGTCGCTCTGGTGAGCGTTGATTGTGACAGGATGACAACTTTCGGCTTCATCCGAGCCCAAGTTGACGATTTGAACGGATCCGAGCTTGGTCCCGGGGAAAACCTGCGGAGGCGACAGTTTATTCCTCTGAGATCGAACGAGAATTGATAAAGCATAGACGTCTCCAAGGCGTCTCAGGAGCGACGAGAGCATGGGCCTGACGCCTGCATCCATCTGCGGAATTCGCGTTATCAGAAAAGTCACGGATTCGGAGGACAAGCGTACCATGATCAGACGTTCGCTCGTCGACATCGGGCTGAGTTCGCACAGGCCTCTGGGATTGAAGCCGGTGTCGAACCGTCGCAATTTCGCTGGGACTCCGGGGAATGAATAGATCTGAACCTGACGGAGCTGTACCACAATCATCTTATCTCTCCGGAGTCGAACCGCTAAAACCTGGTGGAAATTCGATGAATCAAAATTAAAACCTGACAGAGACGACCAGCAGAGATTCTCAGCTGACGGAACGTAAAATCGACTACAAGGGTCTCGGCGGATAATCTTGCTGGAGTCTAACCTTTGAACTAAAAGCTGAATCCATACAAAGGTCATTCTTCTGAAGATCATAGGCCAGAACTACGTTCTCGGCGTATTCTACGCGTCTACCGCCGGGAATCAACGCCAATAAATTAGTCCGGTAGAGCATCTCAGCCTGTAACGAAGCCACTCAATAGTTTGGAGCTTTCAGCGAGCCTGAGGGGAAGAGGGCACCCCCCTGATCAACTCGAGCGGAACATACATACCTTCGCGATCGAGCCCAAATTCTCGATGTGGACAAGTTCCGAGAGTGGCTCGACATTGAAGACCCGAATTCCGTTCTCGGTTGAGCACACGAAGCAGCCTGCAATAATCGGGATCGGTGAGCCCGCATGATGATGCTTTGGACGCTGGCATCGAAACTGCACTCTCAATAGCCAGAGGATGGAAGAGGCTCTCCACACGCTTTCGTGATAGGAACGAACTTAATTCTCTGACCCAGACGATACGAGTCAATGTCGGACATCTGAATCGAAGGGGTTCTCTCTGAGAATGAGATTCCCGCGCCGGGAATCTTTCAGAGACATTTACAGTATTCACGACGTATGAGAGAAGTCGCGGATCGTGGAAATCGCACGTCGGTGCTTGGGCGTCCCTTCCTGAGTTGTAGGATCCAGCACATCCCCCGGAATTCGCACTTACGTATCTCGTGTGCGGATCTGTGTCAAGTACCCCAATGCCATGCATGAGCTTGACGTTTCGATCCGCATCCCAATGTGCGAATCGAGGGGCCAGAACGACCTCGGATCGCCAACATACACAGCTGCGTAGATTTTTCCAAGAGAATTTTCGGCAGCACATCTGCGACTCACTTTGGTCTTGGTTGAATCTTAGAGAGTAGACTTTCTCCGTGGAGACCATGTTGCTGGAGGACTGTATGTTGTTGGCTGTCCCTTGTCGAATGCAGGCTTTGTCAGCTGTTTTGGTCTCTCATTCATGAATGCTCAGCTGGGGAACGAAGATTTAAACGCTCCAATGTTTCTAGCTTCCCTCTCCCACGATCGCTCGAGGTGCAGAAGCACCCGGGGAATCGAGTGAGTCGCTTAAGGTCTGGGTCTGGACGCGAAGCCTCCCCGATCAGAGCTGGATGGTCGAGGGAAGAACATCGACGGACTGGCGAATGTGACGTCGACCTCGATCGATCCGGCCATTGAGAGTCTCGATCAATTGATGAGTTTGACGGCACATCGAGATGCGCAACCGGATCGGCCCGCGAAAATTCGAAAATCCGCTCTCCCTCCGTCGAGACGTGGGCTTCGGCATGACGGAATCCGGTCCCCTCTGCGCACGCATGCTGGGATTATCCTTTGTATTCCGGGGAGACTCGGACGGGCTATGGGGGGGAGGGATTCCCGCAGAAGTTTTCCTCTTGCGACTTCGAATAGCTCCGGTCAGCTGATCGCAAAGCATGTCGTCGTGTGGCCTCTTGATGGTCCGTAGGTTGATGTGGTATTGTTGTTGTCGTCTCTCGGTGGTATGGGCAATGGGTCGTTGGACGTCTGTTCGTGTCTGGGACCGACGATCGACGATGCAGATGCTGTACTGACACTAGTAGCCGGAGCAGTGAGCGCGACGTATTCCTTCGTGTATGGCAGTCTCCCACGATCAACGTCGCTGAAACTCGAGAGTGGTAGAGTCTTTCTCGCTGTGCGCGAGACTGGAACATGTCATTCCGCTGCTACGGAACATTCGGTGTCATCGTTTCTCGAGGCCGTCCGGATCCGATATAATACTTGTTCTCAAGCTAGAAACTCATGTGAGATCCATGTGAACTGCTTGAAAATGCGGTGGAATGTTTTTTTCTCTACATTTCTCTGCTGGCTGTCAACGGTGATCTCGGACGAGGTCAGACTGGGTGAGTTCGAAATAAGACACACAGAGAATCAAGCAGAAATGAGGAGCTCCCCTCGGAACTCCGAGGGGATACTCCCGTGATTAGAGAGAGGATTCCTATCGAAGAGAGGGGACATCTGAGTCCCTGCAAACCCCGGAAACACATGAAGTGTGGAAAAGGGAGGACGCCTTCATCGGAACGGAAAGCTTCTCACGTCAGGCTCTGTGGAGACTGCAAACGACATGCTGATACGGACCGGGAGATATGCGTGACTCATGGGTTGAAAATTCTCATGGCGATTATCGAAGCAGATAACCTTCTAGTCTGAAGCTAAGCTGCATGCTGTGGCAGCTCATTGCGGCAGAGAGAATTCCCTCTCGGGTCGACCATTTGCGGAGACTCTAGTCTGTGCGGACATGCTACGTGCAAATGCCGAGAGGCAGTCAAGTCTGCCTGAAAGTAGTCTCCGGCAAGGGGGCTGGACAGTGCTGACAATGAGCTGATCTCCGGGGAGAGAGGATGCCTCCCTTCCATGCCCCCACAGAGAATCGGAACCGGAGGCATATGATTATGGAAAAACGTCAGGGGAGACCCCTCATTACGATATGATCGACCGCGCCGATATTGACGCCCCACAGATTCCGGAGAACGGCAGCTAATACGGAAATACCGTTTTCCCTCTGCGACTCAGGGCTCGTGAGACTATTGTGTCGTTTGCGTATGATTCATACAATCAGCAGAGCGTTTTCCCTTGAATGCGGTGAGAACGGTCTGGCTCTCGAAGTTACCCTCCATGTATTCCGGTGTGCCGCAGCAGCGCGACGTCATGGTGGCCGGGTTATACGCACTAGAAAATTCCCACTCTGGACCACGAAAACGGCGTAGATATGCCTGTTTTGAGTTCCTGAGCGGTGACCGTGATTGTAGAATCTATGGATAGAAATAACTCACTGACAGGTTTATAAGTGACGACAACATTAGTCTTGTTCACGATTTACGCCGCGCCGCTGAAATCCGTCGATTTGCCCTGAAATTCCCATGGGAGTCCGCCCCGGGTAGCCGTCATGGACATGGCATCGATTTCGAGCTGGTGCTATTCCGGCAGCAGGAATCTATGCTTACGAACGACTAATGATGACACCAGTAGTCTCATGCATCACTCAGTCGATCCGCTTTGACATTCTGAATAAGGCTCTGAGTCCAGAGATTAGCAGCAGCTGGGGAGAAGCAGGCTGTCGACGGAGGAGTGGTTGGGTGGGCTTACTGTGAAATTTTCTTTGCTTTCCTTTATGACAGATCAAGGTCTGGGAACTGTTTCGGGAGAGTCTCTCGCGATCTGTATGAGGCGGCGGTGCTCCTGCAATGGGCATCGCGCGAGAGCCTGGTGACTAAACACCTACTGATTTTCAGAGCTTGAAACGAATGGACCCGTTTACTATAAAGCTCCGTTGGCGATTTCGGGTCGTCTCGAAGGAGCTTACGACCGGGAATACGAATGGATTTTTTATTCGAGGCTACCAAGCGGTAATTTCGAGCGAATACTCTACAGAAGGAAGAGCGCGATGGTGAGTATCGATTTCTATAAACTTAGGTTTGATTTTATTCCTTTCGGTAAGCGATCGATTCCGTGAATTAGACCTCAACGCCGTGAGAGTGATGATAGCTCTTGGAGCTAAGATTTCCCCTATCTCCAGATCAACGAGACATTCGATTTGAGCGAAACTCAAGCCGGACAATTCGACATGTCTGTAAGGGTCACCTATACCCCCTTCCTCTCCCCCAGAACCATAGCCTACGGAGAGATCAAATTTGAGCTAACGAGTGAGTTCAAATTATTTTCTTCAGACTGGGTCCCCCCGATCGATGTCGTCACATTAAGTTATCGGGATTTCCAATGAGCTTTTGACTCTTGGTCAACTTCAAGATTCCATCTCAATTTCGCAGACAAAATCCCGGTGTTTGTAGACTTCCTTCAGAACGGTACAAAATTGACGCCCCAGGACGGCGCACTCAGAGTCAGCTCTGCCGATATTGTGAATGCGACTACCCGGATCAACGATCCCACAGGATATTTCCAGCGGGACGGAACACAAATTACGACTCAATGGGCGGTAAGCTTCCCCAGATCGAAATCTCCCGTCATACGAGAGGGGGCGCCGAGATCGGTGATAGATTGTCCCCGTAGAGTTTCGGCATGAGTCCATTGATTGCCCGACGAAATTTGAAGAATCATAAACTGAAGGTTGTGACGCGGTACCATCGGTGAGCCATGACTACGGTGCGGCAAGCGACTGCGATTCCGTAGCAAAGCCCGGGTCTTTTGCGGGCTCGCGCCTCAAGGCGCCTTACCGCGAAGGGAACTCAGGGCTCCCGGCAGGGTGAATTCCAGGATATCGAGGAACAAACCCCTGAGAGTAACGTTCAATCGTCCTGACTAGGCCTTGCAGAAAGCCGCGTTTCTCAGGGCAACCGCGTTTCCTCGTGGTTCCCATATACGTCTTCCGCTGAGAGGAAGCGTGAATTAAAGCGCCTATTCGGGGAGTGCGGTCCTTTGCGAGTCCTCGTCATTACTCCTGAACTCATGAGTCAATCTCTGAACTCCTTCGATCGGCTTCGTTTCAGGTGAATAATGGTTTGCGACTGAAAAACGCATCGTTCGCACAGTGGTATCCGACGGCGCCGGACAGGATTCAGGATACATTAGAGATGTTCATGACGGCAGTCGATTCGAACAACACCGTCACGGACGGTTCTGTCAGCACAGTGATCGAAGCCCGCGGTGAGTCAGACGTTTGGATTGAAACCACCATAACGAAATTCGACAGCGGGCTAAGCCGAGACCTGCGGTGGCACAAGGAGCCGGGGAAGCTCAATAGCGTCGGGTCTGATGTTCTGACGTCGGTTCTTTCCTTGCAAGATCCGATCTTGAACCTGAATCTCGAGGATAAACTCTGGTTCCAGAGAGGGAACCTCACACATCTCAAGTTCACGTGCAATGCCAGGTGACCACAGAAAATGCGGATTCGATCCGCCAGACAACTCTCGGAATCGATTCCTGCTCCGTATACTGAGATATACCGCTCTCTTTCCAGTACTCCGATTTATTACTGTTTCAAATACGCCTCAAAAACGACTAACATATCGGAGTTCAACTGTACGGATGATGACTATATCCGCCGAGATGTCTGTCAGTTCTCGTTGACTCATTATTTTGGTCGCGTCGGAGACCACGAAGTCATGGTATGCGCATAAAACCAATCCAGGAATTCGATAAGATGAATTGTTCGGAATTACATGCAGAAGGCCGCGTGGAGCACTCACGAAATCCCATGGCTTGCAGATAAAGGTACGAAACGCGGTCAACGACATTCTCCATTGGGACCCCTTGAAGAGCATCTATATCGTGCACGTGTACGACGGTCAGTCTCGTCTTCCTGCTCCGAAAACGATTAGTTTGGGACCCCGAAAAGTTTCGTCCTACGTTGTGGATATGAGCGGGGGGATTAACATGGAAACTCCCCAATCTTGCAGTGCCAACGAAGGGACTCCTCCGGTTGTTCATCGTTCCCATTTCATGCGTGATACTGGGAACCATCGTAGCGGTATCTGGCTACGCGCTATACGAGCACACGAAAGGGGACATGCGAGTCGAAGTTGCAAATTTCGACTTCGCTGGAAATTCGACGCGAGAAGAGCTTGATGCTTCTCTTGTTGAAAGAACATTCTGGACGCATCTTCGGGATGAACTCGCCGAGAGCAGTCCCATATTCCATTGGCTTACTCGGAAACCGCCGCAGCCGCCCGTCGATCGTGTGAACGACAGTAAGGAAGGCGATGACGAACCAATCTGCCCTGAGCCTTGAGGGCGCCTATCCGAGATCTTTACTTTGCGGATGAAACGAATTATTCGCGTCCGGTGAGTGATGCTCTTCCGGGTAAACGAGACCGTTGTTACGTAAGAGCGCCTCGGGAGCCGAGGTCATGAAGCGAGGGAAGCGAATCAACAGATTTCGTTATTTGCAATATCGAGGCAGTGAAGAGATGTCCGGAGAGTGTGGTATCGTCGTTACAGTAACCGGGGCTCTGCGTAGGTATTCGAGATACAATGGTCGAATCGTTTGTATAGTATTTAAATAGGATCGATCAATCGTTCGCTTCCACAGATTATACACTTTACCCCGTTAATCGCTAGAGCCACACCAGCGATAAGATGTAAAAAGTGAAAGAATAAAGATGGTTTATTTTGTAAAGGTGGATCTTTGTGAATCTTTTATCGGATCACGGGATGCAACCGACCCGTCGCGGTCCGAGGTCGCCCCCGCCATTCCGGTGCTGTCCCCTATCGACCGTCGAGGACTGGAGTGATCGATCCTCGCTCCGTTTAGGCCGGTGACGAGCCGCGCAACCGGTCTGAATGAAATAAAGACGCATCGTCCCGTCAGGTATTCTCAGGAGTAGCACGGGTGTGGTAAAGGGTGTCATCTTTATTTATACACATCGAATATACATGCTCGCCTCGTAACCATGAGACGTGAAAATATTTTCTCCACAAGACGAGGAGCTTGTCAGCATTTTTTCGCAGAGGAACAATCTCCTGCGCCCGGGTTCCCTAGGAATAGCTTGCCAGATGAACATATGCACAACGGATACGCGAACGGCTTTTCTGCCGGTGCATCGGGCAAGAGGCCTCTCAACCGAATATCCGAGCTGTCAAAGTAGAGCTGAAAGCAAAGGAAAGCCTCTGATGGGTCACGAGCTTGCCTCTTGCGCAGGATAGAAGGGATAAGTTGTACCGCGGAGCTGAGCTCGGCGAATAAAAGAAGAATGTGTCTGCCTACGTTATGAGGATAAGTTTTTTTGGATCCCCGAGAGACGGGTTTGCATATCGGGAATAGGACCGCTCGGTGCGGAATCGGAACTTCTGAGAGAACATCTGGGCGCTGCCGAGCTGTTTTGCCCTTGTGGGACTCTCCGGCGGAGACTCTCTCAAGGAACTCGGGGAAACTCTGATTGGATCGGGTTTTATGCCTGTGGGCGCTGAGATTCGGATGCCGGGGCACGAATCATGATAAGCTTCGAATTTGAGTGATTGGCACGGAAGTCGTCCCAGCGATGAGCCGTAGACTCGGAGGAGGCTGCTTCGCTGAAGCATTCCTCCGGAGCCCTTATCCGATGACATTTCGTTCTCACCTGATCATGTGTCCTCAGAGTGATGTTTGAATGAGCAACGAGATACACGTCCCCTGCACGAGACTCGACGAGTGCGGGACCGGGCGAGGTCACGACGACCTGGCCGAGAGGACTCTCCAGCAAGAGACGATTTCCGCCTCTGACAAGTGGTGTCTGCAGCGACGCGTTCAAGCGCACCCCATTCTCAACTGAAAGGCAGCCGGCTGTCTCAATAACGAGAGATTTGGGGGAATATTATCCGGATCGTAGTCAATCACTCGATGGATATCAATGAGCTCGGGCAGATGTGCAATCACGAGGCAAGCAGAATCCAGAAGCGAATCGATAGAAAATGAATCATTGCATGCACCGGGATCTTACCGTGGATTGTGGTATGCTTGACATGAAGACTGTCGTTCGTGACACGGAACAACAACTCTTCGTCTTGGTTGAAAACGCTGAAGTCGTCTGAGCTGACGGAGAATGTCGCTCGGCCGATCGCGATTTCGTTAAAGGTTTCTCGGCCAACGGATCTCAACCGGACTCTATCGTTCGCTTCGAGCAGCAAGCTGTTCGCCTTCAGGAACGGATCATAGGCAACACTATTCTGCTCCCACTGGGAAGGGAAGAGATTTCCGAGTCATGCTCGAAAGGCTTGCTTGAGCGGATGAATTCTATAGGGAGATGAGAAAGGAAAAAAACACTCACTCTTGCCGCATGTCGGATGTGGTTGGTGTAAATCCCGCGGTAAAAATGGCTATCACCGTTTATCTTCACGGAATCTTCTTCGATTTCGATGTTTGCAATGCCGTCCATAGAGATGTGAAAGACCCTGACGATGGGATCGTGCATCTTATTTGATTCTCTTTCTCGAAAGAAGCATGCTTAGCCGAAAGCGAGAAACCGCCCACGAAAGTTCTTCCATTAAAAAGAGATCGATTCAGACTGACTGTTGGCTTAGAACATCTGAGTCACATGTCTTTATCTCTCTCGAGCCCGGATCAATATCCGAATTCGGCCGGAGAGCGGGGGGTACTCCCCGAGATTGGGACAGGATTTGCCAGATGATCAAGTACTCGGAGAGCTCGTTCCGGGGAATCAACGTCCTCAAATGGCTTGGATCCACGCCGATTTTATTGATATGACGCGTTGCCGAGTAGATTGCTACCATGGTGTTGTTCGAAGGAGCCCCCTCGACTGCGCGAATATTCCCATTCGAGGGTGGGGGGGGGGGAGGAGGGAGAACAGCTCTCATGGGGTAGGGAAATTCACTTCGTTGGAGAAAAGGGAATTCTGCTTCCCAGAGCCTAATGGAAGAGTTCTGTTGCTTCGACATTAATAGATCAACAAGTTTCCGCTCGCACTTGATGAAGTTAGAACGAAATAACGAGAACTCCGATCTTATTTCGAATTCCTCACAAGAATGGAATCTACGTTCTGGTTCTGTCACCGGCCGTTTCGAGCGGCTGCGGGATTCGGATCTCACCACTGAGAAAGTCGCCCCCACTGCATGTGCGTCTTCCCAGGAAATGGAGTGCAGATCCGTAGGCTTCCGTGCTCAGTCGATGGAGCAGGACGTCAGTTTACGAGAGAATTCATCGCGAACATTCCGCGGGGAATCTCCGCGAGGACTATATGCCAGGATCCCTGACATAAAAAAAATTACTACTCACCGGATTATCCAGAATGTCAGAACGAGATTCAAGATCATGAGCCATGACAAGAGGAACACCAACAAATACAGGAGCCGTTTCCTCCAACCGTAAATCCCAAGCTGGAACTCGGTAGCCGCGGATTCATGCTTGAACGGAAAGAATGCAGGTCAGACATCGTTCAAGTTCGCTGCCTCGGGAGGTGGCTCTCTTCAAGAACAGTGAGACCCCGCGGAAAATTTCCAGCATCGCTTCCTCGAAATCACTGTGCGAGAAACTCACGAACATGTTGGAGTACGAGCGAGCTCTGCTCAGCTCTATGGCTAAAATCGCCTGAGAGGGTCTCTTGCCAAAATCCCACTGGTCCATCGAAATGGCAGGAGGAGAGCTCTCTCGGAAGCTGGCTGACCTCACGATCATGATTCTGCAGTTGATCTTCGAAAATAATAGATATGGTAAACAGCGGGGGCATACTCATGCACTAGCTCACTCACTCGCGAGATATAAACGTCTTAAGTAAACTCCGCGCTGTGCATATCCATCGAACCAAGTGGTTTTTGAGAGCCCTGATCTAGTGCGTATCTATTTTTAGAGCAGAAAGACTGACTCTTGGAGAATGAGAGAGGCGACATCATTCGAAGGAGAAGAGTCGGGCTCGAGTTCCGCCAGCTTCTGCTTGCCAGATGAGAAGACATCACTGCGCGCACCGGGAGCACGGAGTTTTTTGCTCTTCATCATGTCGATCGATGAGCAGCGGGTTCGTGAGGCGCGATATCCTTGTGTCTGAAGACCGAGACGTCTCTCGACTCTCTTGCTTGAGAAACCGAGCTAGAGCTCCTGCCTGCGGCACCTCTGCCAGATGATAACAATTCGTTCCCAGGATAGATCTGAGCTTATCGAACGCTGTCCTTCCTCAGCATGGGAGCTGACGCTTGTCCAATATTGGCGTATCCCCCCGTATTTGAGGGGCGGACCGGAAACTCCGGGGTCTAGGTGAGGTCGTCGACGCCAGGCCAGAAACTCGGCATCTCGAGGGAGAAGGCGAGGGCAATACACATCGAGAGCACCCCAGAACCTCCCGAAGCTCTGAAGCGCGAACCTTGCGACGCAATACTGAGGTGATCGAAGTCCGGAAACGATAGAAATCGCTCTATATACTCAGAGAAGAAGTAATAACCTCTATCTCCATCGATCCGGGTGCCGTGGAGATGGGGGTGGCGACGGATCATATGAGCTCCGGAAAGCTCGGGTGACTCACACGCGGGAGCAGTACACGCCCAACACGTTGAAACGTTCAAGTGCGATGTTTTCCGGAGCTACCTATGTACATACGTCTGACATGTCATGATCTGCTTTTCCCTCGAGCTATCCGCTAACCGCGGAGTGAGAGATTCCCGGCGAGATCGTTTCTCGGAGCTGCAGGAGAGGCTTTCTCGCGAGCGCTTCCACGGAGCAGAAGTTTCCTCGGAAAAGGAAAAGTTCTAGTGAAGAGCTACGTGAATATGTGCGGTCGCTCAACAGGCCCCCTTTTCCGGGCTCCGATACAGCAACTCTTACATTCAGATCTCCAACGCTGACGCTGCAAAAGTAAGGAAGACGCGACCCTCGACATCCGGAGTGGGGGCATCGAGCTCGAGACCAATCCGAGATTCTCCCGGATGCTTCCAAACGTAAACATTCGTCAATTTCTCCTAGCCTCACCCATCGAGTCGACAGCCTCTCGCGGAGGGTCAAAGTTCCTAAATCCCCGTTTGCCGAGCCGCGGATTATTTCCCGTCGTGCGATTTTGCGATGATCGGAATAGTGGAATATCAGCCGCCCGATGGAATCCCCGCCAAGTATTTGGGGTCTGCTCGATAGGGCCCAGACTCCAGTGGCAGAACAGCAAACTCCTCTCCAGGAACACAGTCACGGACTGCTGTATGCCCGCCGAGTTTCTCAAGCCGCTAACCCTCGAAGGATGAGAAACCGATCTCGGTTCGATGAGAGGAGCCATCACCTCCCGTGAATATAATGAAAGGGAGAATGTTGTCGTAGTCGAAGGGCGGGGAATGCCTGAAACCTCGAGTTCCGATTCCGAGAGACACCATCAGCTGGAAAAACATTCCGGCTTTCTCACGTCGATCAGCGAATGGCAGGACCGCGACAAGGAAAGAGAAGTACGAAACTCGAACAAAAGGTATGAGAGGGATGAGAATGCAATATCATACATAAACATGGAACGGACAATGGCTCAGAGTAACTTTCAGTAATATACAAGCTCCATCTGGAGGTTTTTCAATATCTCGAGTCATCTGATGACGCGAAATCCGCGGAAGATTAGTCTCTCGAACGTCAACACTTCTCTCAAATTCACGCCCCCAGATTTCTGCGGTCTTCCCGGGCAAAGGTGCTGAGAAATCCAAAGTTACCATTTGCTTGTGAGGAAGACGAAAATTATGCATCTCCGAGCATCGTTTGATTCGGAAAAAATCCGAAAGCAAAGAGAAGAGATTCGAGTTGCTCCGAGACGCGCGTCGTGAGGAAGATGGGTTCACGCCAGCGCGCTGAAAGCCTCCGGACCTCGGATGCGGAGACAATCGATTGAGTGAATGGTGAAGATCTGCTCTGCCTGAATTCTAGCCCGAAATAAAGCGAAAGCGTCTGGACATGAGCACCCTCGATATTCCCGTGGGGGGCGCAGACGCGAATATCTCCCACGATACCCAGCCGAGCGCTCGCTGGTCGATGATTAACCCGATGATGCACTCAATATGCATATATGTGTACATTATTCATCAAATTAGATTACCTCTTTTTTTTCCAATTTTCAGAGCCGAAACTTTCTCATTCGGGCTCCCTCGACATCTCCGAAGGTCCAACAAATGCAAAAAAAATATCGTTACCCTGGATAAAGGAACAGAGCTTGTAGTCAGAGAATTCGGCTCTAGACCTCTTACGTGGCATACGCCGAACGCCCTGTATGCTAATTTCTTGTCGAGCTCATGCATCCATAATGTGAGATCGCGTCCGAGACTTCGTTTCAACCGGATGAGTCAGACGTCAGATCACGGCTGACAGTCAGCTACGTTCCCTCAACATTGAGCGGTGACGCAGAAACCGTATCGCTAGACTGTGCAAAGGGATTCCTTCACCTAGGTCGGAGGGGACTCGGGGGCACGAACTCGGGTACCTCTCCGACGCTTCTTCCTGCGCCGTGATGCTCTGGCATCCGCTGTCATTATCCATTCATCCATTCAACATCCAACATAATGAATGATGGACATTAATGAAAGGGAAGTCGCACACCCATTGTTTCATTCGATTCGAGCAAAAAGCTGTGAAGTCTTGATTTTACGTTCATCAGCATCGATTTCCGGTACATTACAAACTCGATTATATCACTTTCGATTATATCACCCTAAAAATTCCGGAACTCGATCATATCACCCAATTCGTGATCACCTAACACGAACTAGGTGAAATAATCGAGTTTGCACTGTACTCTGTTTTGTGAGACTCTCCATTCCAGAGGGTGAGATATCCCTGACCCATAGCTCGGTCCGAGATGAGGAGCTGGTTAAACGATATTCATGCTCCTCACATGGTTCCCACGCTCGATCGACGTATTCGCGTCGGGGATGCGAGATTGACCGACAAGACACCCGCATCCAAAGGCTCGGAGCTTTTCCCACTGCATCGCGCGCCGGGATTTTCCTTCCGGACAAAAGCAATTTTCCGAGCAATTGTATGTTGCCTCGGCGCGAAATTTTGAGTGGTGACTGGAGTACGAGAAATTTCTCCCCGACAGACGTCGTTCTGCATGAACAACAATGAGAGTAAATTTTTATTTGCTTTCGAACGGAATAGAATCCCTGTCCCGTCGCACCGCTGACGCTGACAGAGCGCAACGGAGCGAGGAACACTCGAAGGAGAGGGCGGGCCGAGTCGTTTTTTCCATCGACGTTACCTCCGCAAACGGAGTCGACTCGGTAAACAGACTTGCTGGCAACGTCTGGTGTGTCGAAATACGCCTTCAACAAATAGATGCGGAGTGCAGATCTGGAGTGGATTAGAACTCGACGAGGCCTCAGGTATCTCGCCAATCGCGTTGATTACTCTGCAATCATTAGGCGTAGCCTGCGGCACAATGCTCTCGGACCGAGAACATGCGATCTGGAATTCATGCACTCTCCTCACCGGAATCACAGGACTACTCCGGCCCGAGCTTCGGCTCCCCCTGCGCGATCGATTTCGTGACTGCGAAAGAATCGCCAAATTCATCCGGGAAAAAGTGCAACGCGGTTTGCTTAGCTTTTCTCTCGCTCGTCATGGAATCCTTCGCTACGGAAATCCTACGAGGCGGAAGGAACGACTGGGTGAGCGAAGAGCGGAACATCCCTCAGGGCTGTCACAATGGGAAATCGTGAACATCGGCGCACGGCAACAAAAACAGTGCTGTGCGCCGCATCCAGGACGCGGCGCCCCATAGACTCCATGCTTGAGCGGCGCGCCATGGCGCTTAAGCATTGCGTTTATGGGACTTGCAATGCTCGGCGCGGCGCACAGCTCTGAACACAAGTCCTCGGCGACTTCCTCAGAAACGAGGTTATTGGTAGCAGTCAGCGAGAATAAGATCACTATGTACATATCTGGCCCGAGAGAGTACACGACCATCGGCTCGTATAATATGCGGCCTGACGGTCGCGAAAAGCTTAACACATTGAGTATGTTCCTCCTTTTTTTCTCGGTTGCCGCGAAACTTCGCCTCGATCGACAAAGAACTATGTGTCGAACAGATAGAAACATCCCATCGACCTCTCATGCATTCACTGGCACTGGTTCGGATGAAGGGAGAGTTCCTGGGTAAACATATCCGAGTTCGAGACCGCACGAAAGCTGGACGACGTCGACGGGCGCTCCATCCCTGGAAACAAAGGACTGGATTTGTCTTTCGAAGGCTCAATAAGGCTCTCGAGCTCTGCGGCGGATAACACCATCATTTTCCTCGCAGAAACATGGTGGCCTGTTCGCACAGGGTTTTCATCACTGTTCAGGGGACGACGCAAAGCACACCGAAGCAGGAGTCGAAGATGTCCTATGAGGAGTCCCTCCGAAGGCTAGAGAGAAGCCACGGGGGGTTGTTTTGCGAAAGGGAAAAACGCGGTTATATGCGGATGGCTCTCGAAAATTCATCCGGGGCGCGCAGTGTATGGGCCTGGCAAACTTTCGCGCCCTGAAAACCAAACCTCGTTGTTTGACTTTCGCGAACCCTCTGGGAAAGGAGAACTGACGCATAAAAGAACCTTCGCACCACATGGGGGCCCGAGCAGAAGGCTCGCATCAGACCTGGATTTCGGTGGCGGGGAATTGTCGTCAACGAAGTGAAGAAATCGTTGAAGTCCGGATTATCGGACAAATCTCATTCGAGCACGGCGCAC